TCCAGCGAGAGTATAATGACCGAATCGCTCAACAACGTGCGCTGATTTCTCAAAAAGCGCGGTATAGTCTTGAGGACTTCGATCTGAGGGCTACTGTAGGCACTGGTAATTCTCATGCGAAGATATCATCCTGTCATCATAGTGGCGGCCCTTACAGGTACTTTCGGCAGAGTTCGTGTGGTGAAGATAAAGGGGTCTAAGGATCGGACGCCTTTTGCACTAAAGATTTTGAAGAAGTCAGAAATTGTACGATTGAGACAGGTGGGCGCAAGTGTAGTTATCGAGGGCGGAGCGAAGGTGAACGTGTTGTAACATATCAGGTTGAACATGTTCGGGCTGAGAGGGCAATATTGGAGAATCTCAGTCATCCCTTCATCGTCAATCTGTGAGACATACGGTTGTGGTTGTTGTTGATGCTGTTGTGATATTTTTGTGGCGCGCGAGAATTTTCGAGGCCGACGTTTTTGTTGTTGTTGCTGATGCAGTTTTGCAACATTTCGTGACGACAAGAGATTGTTCATGTTGATGGAGTACGTGAATGGTGGCGAGCTGTTTTCGCACCTTCGGAAGGAAGGACGTTTGCCCAATGAGGATGCGAGGTTTTATGCAGCTGAGATCGTATTGGCTTTCCAATACATGCACAGTAAGTTCATGTTTATCTAGGATGAGGGAAGATGCTTATAAATGGACAGTAGTTCTCGTCATCTTCATTGGATGTGACTCGATCCGACGTTTTCGCTCGTGTTAAATCGTCACATCGGGCTCGTCTCGTTTCAGGTTTGAACGTGGTGTATCGCGACTTGAAGCCTGAGAATCTTCTAATTGATTTTGAAGGTAGATAGTGTTACCACATATTGAGTGCTTCTCATAGTAGATTCTTTCCTGTCAGGACATATTAAGATTACCGATTTTGGTTTTGCGAAGGTCGTGACGGATCGTACGTGGACATTATGCGGAACCCCGGAGTATTTGGCACCAGAGATAATTCAGTCTAAAGGTGAAATCGATCGAGGAAGTCTCGAGGAGTGTCTTAGCGCACTGTGAAGATTTTTGTTATTATGATAATGTGATGTGATAGGTCATGGACAGGCTGTAGATTGGTGGGCATTGGGTATCCTTATTTTTGAGATGATCGCTGGTTACCCTCCTTTTTATGATGAGAATCCATTTGGAATATACCAAAAGGTAGGTGCTGGGATTCGAACCTGGGTGGTGATTTTGTTACCTTTTTATCAGGTTTTAGTCGGTCGAATAGATTTCCCTAAACATTTTGATAGCAAGGCTAAGGACCTAGTTAAGCGTTTGTTGGTACGTGATAGAGTCAAACGATATGGATCCCTACGCGATGGTGTAGAAGATATCAAACAGCACAAATGGTGAGTAGATCGAATACTCTATCGTTGAGAATAGTAAAATTGAGGTGGTAAATTTTGGTTATTTTTGCTCACCTGTTATTTGGAAACACAAGTCCACACAATTTTCATATTCTTACCAACACATGTAGTTGACCATGTACATACATTCCCACACAGGGAAAATAGTAATCTCACCGGAAGCATATCTTGAATGCATTCCATGATCAAACATCGAATCCTGGTGGGGACACCCTCGTTAGGATCAGTTAGCATCTTCAACATATAACAGTTTGAAGTCCACATAGTATCCGTCTTCTCGGTATAGGGAATTTGATGAGCATGTTCAGGTTCAAGAGTATCGATTGGGAAGCGGCCATCAATAGAGAAATACCAGCACCGTTTATACCCCAAGTACGAGGCCCTGATGATACGTCGATGTTCGACAGGTGAGGATGACATATTAAGTGGCGAGCGAGATTGTTCCTGTTGCTTTGTAGGTATCCTGAATCGATTGAGAATTCATCCCCTAGTATCAACGATGCTGAGTACGATGATGCGTTTAAAGATTTCTGAGCGTCTGCGAGTATCACGCTCGTCGTCTCTGTTGTTGTTGTTCAAATTGCCACACTTGACTGTTTTCTTCTTTGTACCTGCTGTTCGG